GAGGCGCCGCCGGGGCGAAGGACAGCCGTCCCTCCCCCACACGATCACTTCATGCCCTGACTCTTGGGCCTTCGGGCAAGGGCAGGCCTGGGGCACTGCCGCCGCCTGAGGCGGAGGGAGCTCTTCACCCGCAGCCACCGCCGGGCCCCGTCGCCTCGGGGCAACGCCGCCCGGCGGCCTGCGCCTTTCATCCGCCTGTCTGCCCCAGCCAAGGACAGCCGGGCTTGGTGCTGAGCTGCGTCCAGCCCCTCCTTGAAAAGTTAAATCTCTTCATGGACAACTGGCTCCAGAGCACCGCAGAGAGAAAGTCTGAACTTAGTCATGGCAGGATGGGGGAGCTGCTCTCCACTGCTGGCTCGGGTGACACTGTACAGCTTTGAGGTGAAAAACGCTGGCACTTGAGCTTAACTTTTTAATGCCAAAGCATACAAGTTACCCTGCAAAGCCATAGGAAGCTCTCACATAATTATTCAAGAAGTAGATTTTAGGCCACTGTGTACCATGGGACAGTTACCCGCAATTTCTCCACAACTTCTGACTCTGCTGTTTATGTAGCAGTTTAAGATACTGACAAAGCATCCAAGTAGATCCAGCCAAGTCCATACAAGAAGAGCTTAAATGTTCAAGCCAATTTCTGTATCCTTTCCTGAAAGTAGGTTTATTTGCCTAACTAATGGAAGTTCAAGGTAGTAAAACACTTGGGCAAGATCTATAAAAATACTGAGATGCCCAAGTCCCACTGAAGCTGATTTTAGATGTACAACAGCACCCCCCCCGCCTAAAAAAACCTCCACACTCCATATTTAGTTTCGTCTCTTTGATGTACATTAGCAAGGAAATTTTGAATGACTGAAATCCTGCTGTTGTGCAAGTCCTCTACTTTGGCTGAGTCAATCCAATCCAGTTGACTCACTGTGGTCAGGCTAAATGCACAATGGCAATATTGAATGAACCCATAAAACAAATCACACCACCATATGACCTTTTAGGTTTCTTTGTTTTTCTGAGTCATGGAAAAACTGCAATAGAACATCTTCCTTTGCACAACAAATTAATGCAGACGTCTTCCAAGTATCATCCCACAAGCCAGAGTGGCTCACCAGCAGTACTGCCAGATGTGTCCATACCATAAACAACTGTTTGTAGGAGATGCCAAAGAAACCACCCAGGAGAAGGAGCCAGCGGATGCCTCAGATGCAGTGCAGTGTGAGTGCATTAGAAAGCAGAGGGGAGGAACCCCACAAGACTTACCATCTCCCAGTTCTAGGACAAGTGAGATCAGGCAGGTAGGAGATGCCATGTGGCTAGTGCCCAACTTTGTTTTACAGAGTATATGGCTATACCCACTGACCAACTATTATTTACATTTCACCAGTTTCACCTAATGAAGGGAAGCCTGACATCCCTGTTTGGCTGTGATACTCCTGGAATGCAGAGGCTGTCTCCACATCCTTTAACACCTATATTGAAGGCAATATTTTGTTCAGGTTATTTCAGAGAAGGCAGTTTTTTTTGCAGCTCTCCGTCAAGTCTAAGCTGTGACAAACTATACATTCAAGCAAGGAAAAGGGATCAAGGACAAAATACCAGTACTATGTTATAGCTGTAACAGCAAGACAAAGAAAGGGAGCCAAGAAGGGCTCCCTCTCGCCATTCACATGTATATTTATTTCTCTGGGAAAAGTTAGGCTACACAGCCTAATCTGCCAGTCCTCCCTCCCTCCCTCCCTCCCTCTTTAACAACAGTTGACAAGAACAAGTCTAAAGAAAATTTATCCCAGAATAGTCAATTTAGATATTTGCTCTCTTCATTCAGAATGATTTAAGACCACAGTCCCAACTCCTAGAAAATACCCTGACTACCTGATAATTGTGGAAGAAGGGAGCAGGAGTGTCTTCCATCTATGCCACGAAGAAGGAAAAGTATGAAAAAAAAAAAAAACAAGATGCCTGAAACAGAAGAAGTTAGGTAATGTGGTTTATATCCTAGCCAGGCAGATGGTGCCAAAAAATATGGACTAATTCCAGGCTTTCCTCACAGAAGTTTCAGTTAGGCCTTATTCAACTGCCAAAATACTTTCTAAGTACATTCATGCTCAAACTAAAATATAAGAAGATAACATACATACCATAGTATTTTTCAAGACCACTTTATTCATCTCTTATAATTTCAAATGGTATTTTTAGTCAGGGATATTGGAATAAATAACACTATCTTACCTTTCTCCCGCAACATGAATTTGGGAACCGTGCTGTGAAATATAACACTGATTTGGTATTCGTTACAATACTGTACCTAGCCACCAGCAAAGAAGGAACTTTGAAAGGGAAAACAGACTCCCTCTGTTCTACTACCTCATTCAGGCTTTCCAGGCAAGGGAAATCTAGATGTTCTGGAGGCATGAATGTACTATGAGATTGCTGGTGTCTAGACACCATGGAGATGAGGAGGTTGCAGACAATCTACATGAGGTTTCCCATGATTTCTTCTAACAGTGGAACTATATAACACTGCAAAGAAGACAGGTGAGTAAGAAAAGGCTTAATGTAGCCCAATCTTAAAAATATAGGAGAAAACTAACGAATTACTCTTTTTCTTCTGAAGTATTTCATCCACTTCACCAATTTATCAGCATGCATTAGGACTCCCTTTTCTGCAGAACTGGCATTAACATCAAATATAATTCCTTAGACCAAAGGATGGATGAAGACATATTTCGTTTTTGAGTAGTATAATTATTTTATATTATAATGTAGTTTTATAAACAGATGAAATAATTTATATTATAATTACTTATACTGCAATGGAAAAAGGAATCATGAGGGCATGGACAAGTATTAGGTGGTGCATAACCACAAACTAAGACAGTCCCCAAGCCCCTAAATGTATGAAACAAAAAGTTCCAAGATGTCAATCCTGCCTCAGTTGCTCATAATTCATAATAAACCTGAGAAGGATAAAAATTACCTGAGAATCTCATGTCTGAGTTTCTGACAGGTATTACTAATGGTAAGATTTAAATTCTAAATATATACTTCAAAGCCATTCATAAATCTCATGCAAATAAATTATGTATGTTATAGTAGGGACCTTATCTAGTTCCTTTGGTAGCAAATAAAAGCAGCATTTACTTCAGAAGGTATTTGATCGGGCTCATTTAATACATGGCGCTACTAGAAAACAGCAGAATTAATAGTACATGTTTTCCAAGACATACATGTCATAAACACCTTTCACTCTCCAAACTTAATACCCCTACTTCTTCATCATGTCCGTGGTGCTTTTCACAGCCTAGCTCTTTTCCTCGTATGCTTTCTACCCTTTCACCACAGTACCCCCCAGTTCTTTCACAGGGTCTTCACTGCTCTCTCCCTCAGTTTCCCCTGTATCATTCCACAAGAACTCCATTCACCTCCTCGGCACCTCAAAACCCATAGTATCCTTATTGCCCCCATAGACCCCCAAGTATGCCCCCAGCTCTGTGCTCCTTAAAAACTCTCCACAGTACTGATACCTCACTGTGTCTTGGCCCACCGTGACATTACCCCACGGAGTTACAGGTAAGGTATCCTGTGTCTGCATCACAAAACGCTGTTTGTCTCGCAAGAGAAGGCTGGAGGTCAGTCCACAGTGTGGTCCCATACCCAGCACCTTACTTTCCCCTTGCTGTTGGGTGGACAGCCCCCCAAACAGGGCATTTCCTCCTCTACCCATCACTTAATAAAAATAGGAACTTACTATAATTACAGACCTCCAGCTTTTCATCAAGCATGACTAATACTAGCCAGCTAAGTCACAAATGATTGTAAAGGGGAGAAAGGCAAGGAACAGCAACAAGGAACAGCAGGCAAGCACAAAGACAGAATGCATGCAGGGGCCTGATTTTCTTAGAAACCAATTCATAAATTCAGTAGACAACAACATGTTTGCATGTCTCTCCCTGTGACTGCCTGATAGCGATCTGTTATGCTGAAAGTTAAGGAAAAGGCCTTGAACGAAATACCAGCTTGTTTATACAGAAGATAAGAAAAACTGACTTCTGCCTGTATTTTTTCCTACCTATCATGTCTAATGTGAAGTAACCTTGAAGGCTTATCTAAGAATTTGTTCTATACTTTCCTAACCCTGTCAGTCATAAAGTAGTTATAAATAAAATATAAAAGAACAGCATATTCTCAAGTTTGGACTAAAATTTAGATTTTCTTTAAAAGCAAGTTGTTCATCAAGCTTAGGAATAAAGAACAGTTGTTTTTTTCTTGCTTTTCCTGAACTGTTCACACCTTAAGAGTTAACTAACCTCACATAAAAGGAAATTTACTTTTTACTGGTCCAGCAAAAGAAAGATGCAGAAAATAAAGTCAGGAAATACAGGTACATATTCTGTCATCCATATCCACTGTATTAATATCAGCATGGTTCACAAAATTCCTACTTGACATTAAAAAGAGCACTAAAAGTCTGCAGTAGTAAAATATTAGCTGCACTGCTCCAATTCCTCTCACTACCTAGTATACATCATTTTGGTATCCAAAATAGTATTACTAGACCTAAAGACATTTGTTGATTGGGATAGGATTTTTCTGTTGACTAACCATTTAGCTCACAGTCTTAGTAACAGTCTATATATAGAATTACCATTTGCTATTTTTCCTATTATAGCACACTATGGTAAAAATAAACCATGGATACAGAGTTGCTATTTACAGTTAACCACAGAAGATATTCCAGTCTGTACTACAGCTGCATTGATTGTGCTCGTGGGATCTACAGATTACCATCAACTTGAAAAAAAATCTCATTTTGGTTTGTAAAACAATTACTGTTGTTGTGGTAATACGGGGGGTTACTCTGGATTCCCTTCTACACAAAAATATTCCCCCTCTTTCTGGAGGCAACCATCTGTTCTCCAGTCTGCAAAGTGTGCTCACACCCTGGAGAATAAATAAATACATTTAACTAGCAAGGCTTGATGCCTGTGTTAGGAATGGAAACTAGTATCAATAACTAAAGAATGGTCATTATTTGGTGAAGCAGGTACTACCCTAACCGAACTTCAGCTGCCTGAATGCACACAGCCTTTGCCCAAGGTTTCCACTGCCATGAAGGCTGCATTTTTTCCCACTTCCTTTAAGCTCCTGAGCTCAGAGTTTGAGGAGTACATGACAGAAGTGTTCAGGGAAGATTAGGGTATTTTTTTTATTTTTAGGTACAATGCTTTCAAGAGGCTAACAAGACCCATTCTTTCAGATTTAACGAAACAGGTTTCCTTGCCCTTATGGGCCTTTCACAGAAGTGCTTGAAGAGAAGTGTAAAAAGGTGGTAAGCACAAGTACAGAACAACAAATGACAGGTAAGGAGAACCCAGTGCAACTGGAAAGCACAGTGTGAATACCAAGCACTACAAAAGCAATGCCATGAAATGCTTACAGTTTATTCAGTTACAGAGCTTGCTTTTTTTTTTTTTTTTTTTTTTTTTTAATAAAACCCTTCCTATTTATTTGTGAAACACGTCTCCAGCTTGTTTCATAGATATTACAAAGCAAGTGTTCTGCATGTGGAAGGCTCACTCATTCTAAATGCTTTAAAATCCAGAAACCACAAAATCTCAGTTTCCTACTTTTTTCCAACCTTTCCCAATCAAAACATGCCAGAAGATCATAATTCACATCCAAATAAGCTACTCATATAACGTGTACAGTCACACACATGCACACGCACAAAAAAAAAAAAAAAGCCTAAATACAATTCCAGTCTTAAAACTTCAGAAAAAAATTTCAGTGGCATAACAGCCATTTCATGACTGACTGTGAAGTAATGGGTCTGATTACAAGATAAGATCCTGTAGAAAGTAGAAATACATTCAAAACAAGAAAAAGATTAAGATTTGCACTTATGTTCCCATTCTGCTCTTAAAAGCAGCAGGAAGCCTTCTCCACAGCAGCCCGTGTACTAAAGAGACAGCAAAGCAGCAAATAAAGTTTCACAGAACTGATTTGAGTCTCCTCTAATCAGGTTTGGTTTGGTTCGGTAAGGGAGAGTTTTATGGCATCCTCACCACTAGCCAGGATGAGCACTTAAACTTCTGTCACTACTGAGCAAGGGGACTTCCTGCTGAAAACAAAACTTTGAAGTGTCTGAGTGTACATAGGTCAGGCTATAAAAACAAAGCAAAATGTAAAGCAAGTTACTATCTAGAGAGCTAATGAACCCCATTAAATTTGAGATCTAAGATTTTCCCCCTATTTCTTTACTAAAAATAAAATTTCTTAATTGCAAGCAGAAAACCAGTGGAAGATTAATGGATTTCTTTAATAGCAAAAAAGAGTTTATCAAAAACAATCAACACTGCCCATTTTTACCCAGACTGGGTTTAGCAAAAAGAAAATGTTCTGGTGGTATGACTTTCTCTGCAGAGCAGAGGAAAATAGAGCAATTCCATATGCTAGGAGCTTTCTTAATAGAAACAGTTAATTTACCACATGAGGAATATCACATGCATACCACTTCCACCTAAAATGAATCACTCCTTCCATTTGAGAAAACTGAGGTCTTTTATCTTCCTCAGGGTGGAGTCCATCTCCTCCCATAGATCCCTACAGAGTAAAACTGCTAATCGTTTTAAGATTTAAAGACATTACTTCTTTTGTGTCCATATATCACATTTCAATGTCCTCTAAACAAGAGAGAGCTTAATGTTTTTGTGTAACCTTGAACTGGCCCGTGTGCAACTTTTATTGCTTCATCCTTGAGCTCTTCTACAGTTGCATGATCCAATTTGTTACACTGGTGGTATTAAACTGCTTTTACCAGGTTAACAATATTCAGTTTAAATTCCTTAAATCTAATTTTAAGATGAGTGTGCTAATTTGAATACTAGGTAAAAACATGAAAAACTGAAAGAAGAAAAAAGCCAAGCTACATGTTTTAACATATACTGCATCTCTCCTTCAATAAGATTATAGACAGTAAATCCCTGCCCTATGCAGTATCAAACGAGGCAGAATGTCTCTAGGACCTGATCCAAAATCTGTTAGCATCAACAGAGTCTTTTTTTCAAATATACTACTTTGGGGATCAGTTCTCAAAAGAGAGTCCTGTCTAATTTGCTCATGGGAGTGTGAATATAAATGTAGATTTTTGCTTGACTAGTGTTTCCATCCTTGGCCCAAATCATCTCCCAGGAGGATGGAGGAAAGGTCAAAATTGGAGGCAGGTCGCATTAGACACTACCATTGATTTGACATAAACTCTTAATAATGTCATAGGTTCATTTGATTAGAAACAATGCAGTCTGAGAAGATAAACAGTGTAAAAGTGGTCCCTTTATTGTGGAATATATACTAAGCATCTGAAATTTTAGACAGTGGGAAAACTTGCTGCTCAGAGTCACAGGGACACTTATACAATGTTGTATAATATGCATTGCATATTAATGTATATACATTACAATATCAGTGTATAATACATGTTGCGTATTACACAATACAAAATGATGCAGCAATTTGAAGTGAGAAAATGTGCAAGAAGGTTAAAGCCACAGAACCGTGTTGGAATATCCACAAATATGTGCACTAGTTATACATAAAGTAGCAGGAATAACACATTACAAACACAAATGCTCGATTCAATGCTGTATTATTGGCATTCATCTTGACCTTTCAAAAACAAGTACCTCATTTTGACGGGTGTGGGATACTCAACAGCTCTTAATTAAATGCTTCAGAAGCAGACTTTAAAACTGTTCTAAAGTATATTGAATTAGTCTCCACAAGGCCAGTTTTTGGCACCTGTTCTTGAAATGAGAAAAAGCAAGCACGCTGAACCAAGATTATGCATTATTTTCCAGGAATCCAGCAATTTCTTGGAGAGATTAAATTTACTGCAGCTCTGAAATAACAGGGTTACTGCACATTCTGAATGGTTGAGCGTCTCTGCAGGACTGGATAACAGCTAGCACAGGGGTCTCAGGGGATTTTATTGTAGTTAACCCATCCTCCTGTTCTGTTTCTACTTTTACATGCAAAAGAAAATGTTTGTGCTTAATACAATATTTATAGCTATAAGTAATAGTCAGTTCCTTTCTGGTTTTACTGTACCAGCATGTACAAGAAATATATAAAACTATATATATTATTGCTACTACTTTGCAAGATGTTGTATATATTGTAAAGCTGGCTCTCTAATAGAAGGCAGCTAAAGACCTCTGCACTTAAAGCTGCCAAAGCTGATACAGCAATCACAAACATGTGTTGTTACACTTCTTGTGGCTCATCTCCACATGGCGCAGCTGTTGTGTTGGCTAAAGAAAATGCAGGCCCAAGGGAAACAAATTTAATTCAGCTGGGGTGACTTCCACTAAAAAAAAAAAAGTGTTTTAAGGAGAACAGGTGTCTTACAGTAAGGGGGATTGTTTGAGAGGTTTTCCCTAAACTTGCTATGCTTCTAGGAAGTCTGTTCTAAAGTGGTGTGCATGGGATAATAATCTCTTACAGTCTAATTTTTAAATAATAACCTTCAGAAATGCAATGGATTCCAGAAATGCTTTTTGTTTGCTTGTTTGTCTTAGTCCTAGGACAGGAAGACTAGCACAGGACTTTATCAACACAAGTTAGAAGCTGGAGGGAGCCTCATTGATGTTATTC